ACTAAATATGGAAGTACTTGATTGTATGAATGAGTTTCTATTAATAGGTTGATTACAAAATGTTGGTGTAAATTAATGAGATATGGATTAGAAAGTGATAGTATGGTTACATAAAAACTGTGTAAGAAGAAAAGAGAATAGGGTGAATACAAAAGGTAAAAAAAGAAGTTTTACAAAAGAGTAAATATTGAATTTAGTTGTAGTTTGGTCAATATTGGGTCAAAAATCTTCACTTAGAGCTTGTTTTGACTGAGTAAGTGTATACTACAACTTTAATTAAGAGTATAAAACAGGTTAAGGCAGTAAAAATTGCAGAATAGCTAAAAGTTATCAACTGGAGGCCAAAGGCTGTCAGTACAATTTACTCGATGAGTTTGAAGTATAAAGACTTGATATTTGCAGACTATATATAAAATGATGTGCTGAACAAGCTTAATTAGAAGCCCAAAATAGGTTTCCTTAGTAAAATAAAAAGTTATAAGTGTTTTTGACAGATAAATTTTTAGTTAATTTTTGTGCAATGAATTTGCAGAAAAAGTTTTATTTTCTTCCTCTTATCTGTTATTAATTGTCCTGTATTATATCATAATAAAAAAACCAAATTACTTTTAAATTGTAATCTGCCTTAAATAAATAAATAAAATTTATAATTAATTAAAATTCTAATTATTATAAATTAAATTAAACAAATAAATAAACTAATACATTTCTTAATCCATATTATATTATATTTGAACCTTTTTTATAATGTTCTTAAACCTGCCTTAACTAGTATTTCATTCAGGAATTTTAGCAAATTTGGTAATCGATAATCGCATCTTATTTAGTAATAATTAACATTCAGATTATTCTAGACTTCATTTCCAGATTGTTCTATATATTACGATAATTAACCAATCAAATTGAAAGGCTATATAAATCGACTTCAACTGCTTTCCACTTTATGACAAACTTTACAGCTTTATAACTATGCTGCAATAAAGGCACGTACGTACAAACATACGAACACACATAACTCCAGAGTTCTTTGTAATGGCAATACAGCAGTATAGTAAGATTGCATGTTAAATTAAATCGACATTACAACATTACAGCAATTACAGCCTTAAGAGAAGTAAATTCTATGCTTACTTTGTCTTATTTCATATAAATTAAATTTTTTTGAAATCTGACAGATCACATATTGGACTAACTTACTTTTTTTTTTTAGAGGTAACAGTAAGAGATCATCATTGTGTTAAGTGGTTTCTTTAGTTTTATTGGTAGTGCGTTGCTATCAAATTTAGTTAGTAGCATTTTGTTTGGCATTCTAAGTCTTTTCTACTTTTCATATTTTAGTGCTGTAATGGCTAAACTTGATAATTTACCAACAGATGAAGGAAAAATTTGGAATTATATTATTAAATGGGAAATTGTTCAAAATCCTTTTTTACCTCCTAAATGATTCAATGAACACTTAGCTTTAAAAATTCATTTAAAATTGTCTTTCTTTAATTCAAAAATATCTAATAAAATTCGACTTTGTCAGAAAATTCTTAAACCAAATTTGTGAGTGATGTTATGTTAAAATTTACAGCACCAAACAAATCTATTAAAATATTATTTTATCTTTTCACATTAATTGTCATGATGAATTATTTCATAATTACTTAATTGTAGCAAATATATTAAAACATTAAATGATTAATTAATTATTAATAAATACTATAATATATTAAAATTTATTGCACTTTTATACATAAATAAAATAGTAACTATTGATAATATTGTAATAAATAACAATTTTCCAAGAAAAATTATCCTATCAATTATTCTTCACTAATACTAATGTTATTTTCAGTTAATATATTTTTGACTTCTTGAAGAATATTTACTAATTCTTCACAGGACTTATTTGATAAACCACAAAAGCGCGATTGATCTGAATCACCTAAAGAAGGAATTAAAGAGGTAATAATAGATAAAATTTCCGATTTTTTTAAAGAGCCTTCACTTTTTTGAAGTTCTGCCTCATCACATGTTATAGGAATTGGATGCCAAATGCCTAAAGGTGTTTTTTTAATTAATGTTGCTTTAATAAATTCAGTTCTTTTTGTACTCGTGATTTCACTAAATCTTATCATTTGTTTACTTAATATCAATTCTCCACCTAGATTTTGAAAAATACAATTATCAGCATTTGGATTTACAAATTGAGCTTTTCTTATCTGAACCCAGAATCGACGTGATTTAGTAGTAAAACTGGAATATGTACGAGGCCCATTGGCTTCACTTTCGGAGTATTCTATTATATTAAAAATGTTAGTACACAATTTTGAAAAATTAGTACAATTATATGCTACAATTTCCCAATACCATTGTGAAGGTATTGGAGGAATTAATGATTTCAATGATTTGTTAATTTCTTCAAGTATTGCATCATGGCCTTGATGTTGGTTTAAAAGTTTGGATCGTGAAGTAACAACCCTTTCTTGAATTAAATTTCGAATTTCAGGTCTTAATCGTAGCATTTGTTCTTCATCAGCAATTTTGATTAATCGATAGATTGGATGCTGTCGAGCAGACCAAATAGGTGCAAACATTCGCCTAGCTGCAAACTTTAGTAAAGGCCTATTAAAACGAACACCAGTATGAAAGTTAATAATTGCTTGCAAATAAATAAAAGTTTGTTCATACTTTAACCTAAACATATTATCAGTCTGATTTTGAGCCCATTTTAAAAATCCTTCAACAGAAGGATTTTCTTCAGAAATAATATATGACCATATTAACTCAGATGCCATTGCATGTCTATATATATTACATATAGAATCCCACGACTTATGATAATCGGAGCATTTTTTGAAAAACTGAAGTTGGTTGTCAGTTCGATATCCTTGGCACTTAGCAAAATCTTTTAGATTAATATCCTAATTTAATTCAATGAGTGCCTTTAACATATTCATTTCTTCATGAAGAGCATCAGGAATTAATATGAGCCAAGGAAAATCTTTTTTTATTTTTTGTATATGATGATATGATACTCCATCACAGGTAACTACAACCCATTTACAGCTACCATTTTTAACTCCAGATATTTCTTCAATATGCTCAAGAACTTTTCTAACATTAGTAACCGAGTTTGGATTAATTCCTATTGGATTAGAAATGAATATTTGTGGCTTATGGACTTCACTTTCCAGAATTGATCATTGTTTAAATACATAAGGAAAAATGGGTAATTTTTCAGTAGCATTTACGATCTTAGATTGTTCATCAACTATCTCAGCAAGTTTTGGTAATTTATTTTTGCATTTAGGACAAACTCGTTTCTTATTATCGATATTAGAGGTCTGGCAAACTAGACATTTTTTCATATGTCCTATTTGATTTTGCTGATGAACCAATTCGTCGATTATATTCGTTTCTTAATTTTTCTCAATGCAAAGCTCACCTAAAATAGTCCAAAAATAATTAGTAAGTTCCTCATTAATTTCATCACTTATACTTGATAATAAATAAAATAACTCTTTATATTGTTTTAGGTCAAGTTCCGTATATAGCCAAGGATTTTCACTTTGAATATCATTACTCTGGCTATAGCTAAATGCAACGAAACTCGTAATCGTGTAGAATATAACTGTGTTATTCCCATGATCCAGATAGTTTTTTTGACCTTTCTGTTTGTTGTCAAAGGCCAAAAACAAAAAACCCTTAGGAAGCTGTAGTTGTTCTCCAGCTAAACTTTCTAACCAATTATTGAACTTCATATAACTACCAGAGCTAATAATATGGTTATCAATATCAATAATTATTTTTGATCTTGCTAACGAATACTTAACTGCTGAAATTGCCAAATTAATAGCCGATATATATCTTAAATGCCTTGACCCATATATAGCATCAACTGCTACTGCATACTTGAAAAGCTTTTCCTTTCCGTGCTGATGTTCATTCTTATTATGCATAAGAGTTTCTATAAACTTGACAAAGACCGGATTCCGCTTAGCAAGCCACTTGGAAGGAGAATACTCCAAAAGACTACCTAAAGAAAACTGTTCTTAATTCTTTATTAAATTCATTGCATCTTCACACAAATTACTTCGTTTTTTTTTGGCAATCTCTATTATAGAATGAATGCAATCTTCTTGGTTAGTAAATCTTTCACTTAGCTTTTTTTTTAATGTTTCATTTTCACTTAATAATTGCTTATTATTTTTTTCTAACTCATCAATTCTTCTTTGAAGAATTTCACACATTGGATCTGAAAAGGATACTTGGGATTCAAAATCAACACAAGCTTTTTTAAACAAATCTACTTGAATGCCAAAATCAGTGAAAATCTTTTTAGGAACTTGCAGCTCAACGTCGTCAATAGAAAACTTCAATTTTTTTTTCACTGGTTCTTCTAATGATAAAAGAATTGGATCAGTTTTTTTCTTTAATTGATCAATAAAAGATTTTTTAGCAATGATCCAGTTATAATGCCCTTCACATAAAGAATAACTCTCCATAGAGGCAAGATATTGAGTTAATTTAGAAAAATACTTAGCCATTTCTGTTATTCTTTTTGTTGCTGCAACGGCAGGCGCATTTCGCTACTTCCCAATTCTATATATTTCTATATGTTTTAGCAAGTCACTATCTTTGTGTTCTTTAGCAAAAAAAGCGAAGAAGCAGGGCAGATCTTTGGCTTCAGAGTTCGAATTCATGGTTGATCAATCTACGAACTATAAAATTTAAACTTTGAATTTGTGAAAAAACTAATTTGTTAAGTTTCAGAGATCCTAGGGGATTCTTAAAGTATGTGCTTGAAAATATATATATCGATAACTAGTTTCGACTTTTGTTACATATTGGTTACGTATTAGATCGATGAAATACTATGACTTTTTTTATAAGAAGGCCAATTATATTTCAAGGCATGATCGTAGACTATTCTAGAAATGATCTACAAATTTTCAATAATCCCTGACTGTATTTAATTAAAACTGTCTTATTTGTCTTAAGTAATATTACATAATGTCAACATTTATAAAAGAATAATCCATCATATTCCTTTTTGTCCAATAATGCATTTCTGACCTAGTAGCCTATATTAATAGTTAGTAGTTTAATAATTAGTCCTAATTGCAAATATTGATCTTGGTTATAATATTTATATTAAATTATTTTTGTATATAGTAATTTTATATAATTATTAATTTTAAAACTACTAATAAAGATATAAACAAAATCTCACCTTAATAAAAAAAAAGAACTAACTATGATAGAATTAGAAAAAAACTTAACTTCTATTAAATAAATAGGCAGTAAAAAAATGTATAGATATAATGACAAAAAAATACAAAATACTTTTTTTTTTTTAATGTTAATGGTGAAACCATGCCTCTATCTTTATTGAATATTTAACTGAGATTTTATATAAAATTTAAATCTACTTTTAAAATATTATAGCAAGAATAGAAGCTTAGACTAATTTATCTGCAACCTAAAACAACTGAAGTGGCCAAGGCTCACCTAGATTTGGGTGTTAGTAATAATGTATGAGAGAAAATATAAAATACTTTTTATAATCAAATATGAAAACTTCAATATAAAAGAATGTAAGTATGAAAAAAAAAACTGATATAACAAATAAAATAAAAAAAATATTAGTTAAAAAAAGTTAATGAAAAAAAAAAACAAAAAAAAAAGATAAAAAAACAGAAAAAGCAAATTAAATAAAAAAAGAAGTTTAAAAAATAATTGATATGCTTGTTACAGAAGAGAGAGAACTCTTTTAATATAATTTTAAGTAGTTGAATAAGACTAAACTTAGATATTAGAAAATTTTATATAATTATATATGTATTTAGTTTTAAGTATTTAATAATGTACTAACATATCTGCTTAAAATCAAAAAATTTTTTTTGTTTATTTTATTTTAATTTAGTTTAATTATTTTAATTATTTTTTTTTTATTTGTTTTATGTTTTTTTGGTTATTTTATTTTTTTATTTATTTTATTTTTATTTTATTTTATTTATTTTATTTTTTACTTTTTTTTATTTTATTTTGTTTTTTTATTTATTCTATTATTTTGTTTATTTTATTTATTAAAATTATTATTAGATGTTTGGATTATTTAAAGAAAACCAAAAATAAGTATAATTAATCTGAGTCAGATATTTTACTATCAAGGTTGATCTGATTTAGGTTAGAACTAAACTGTTTATATTTAATATTTATTAGCCATAGATTGTTAACATTTAAACATCATACTAGATACAACCCATCATTTCACCAATGATTTAAAATTATTAAATAAATAAATCTATAAAATCATTAAGTAACATATAGCATTAGAAAAAATAATAATTTGATGCTATTTATGTCATTCAATTTTTGATTCAGCATTATCATATAACTTCGTGAAGATAAGTCTCGGATCGAAGAGCAAAAGTGACATATTATGCCATTCAATATGTCTATTATTACAATCAGAACTTACTTAAAGCATTTATCTAAATAAAAAACTAAATTATGAATTCTGATTGTAAATGCTATACATATTTTGATAACATAATAGTCACCTCTACCTTTTAGTCTGCGATTCAAAGTTGTCCTATGACTTCACGAACATTTACCTGGGAAAGTCTACATAACATTTAGATAGGTTAAATCATGTGATTGGTACGCGTTCGTAGACTTTCCGCATTTACCTTTGCAAAGCCATGTGACACATTAGATTGCAGATTCTCATGATCGATGTTATACGAATATCTTCATAGCCAATAAGACAATTTAAAAAATTGTTTATATAGTGTCAGAGGTAAAACCGACATCTCACAGAACCTGCGAAATGGACGTCATTGTGGCATACTTACCTAATTAGAGGTACCCATACGATCCATCTGAAACATGTGCGCCCGGCCCCAAAGAAGCCATATGAAAGTACACAAGCCTCCATGCGGGACCCCACCCCCCCTCCAATTAAAGTAAGGTCGACCTGGACCAACCTGTTGCGCTGGGAATGGACGTTAACTCCACCTACCTTACTTGGGTTAGGTGTGAGGCGATGTCAAGGGGGTGCGATTGAAGATAATATGATGGGTTCTGGCCCCGGGATATTGAAACTGAAACATTTCTCATCAGTTCTATGAAAACCGTGAGAAATGTTAAAGTAACGAAAGGCTGTGTGGAAAGGGGTTAAAGGTTATAACAAATAAGGTTGGAAGTGTTGGGAATCATGAGAAGAGTCGTGGTCTTGCGCGGGCTCTTCTCGCGTTCAATTCACTATAAAAAGGGTGGAATTTCCCCCTTCCAAGAAATAGTACAAAAGTATCGCCAAAGAGTCCAATAGAATTAAGAACCGCTCCGAATAATAATATAATTGTACTAGCCCTACGAAATATTAATAAAGTTAATAAAGCCCTTTTTAACTTATACAATAAACCAACGCTCTTTTAAAATTGTAATACTTATCATAACGCTCCTCATCGATCGCCTTGACCTTGTGCCAAATCGAAAATCCGCCTCTATTATCCTTGAGGAACGTTACGCGGCATAACCATTTTTCTAGCGACAATCCGTCGCATTTGCCCCATCTCTGGACTCGACGTTAAACCTGTCACAATAGAGTAGTCTATACATTACACACATGTGAACCCAATTATTTTGATAATACGATGAATTTTAATATAATAGACATATGTTTACAAAAAAACTTTTGTTAAGAAAGAACAGATAAAGTATATTAATTGAAATACTTGAATTACATGATTATCTATTGCCAGCAATGACTTTATTAATTAGAAATTACATGAATTATAATCCAACACACTTAAATTTATACAAATTCAATCTCTAATTAGGATATTACAGCAATGCAACATTACGACACAAAGTTTTACAGCAATTAGATACTATTCCGTAGTTAATTCTACCACGTGGTAAAATGCTGTAACGCTGTAATTCAGTAATTATACCAACAACTATAGTCTTGTCCTTTATTCCATCATGTCAATGGTACTGATTCTAACGTGATTGCACCCATTTGTTTCATTCCCTACACGAATGTCAACAACTGACTAGCACGGTCACACAATTTACTCAATTTGTTCTTACAACTATTTATTTACACTCAGCAATGTCACTGCCTCTTTATCCTTTTTAGACGTTACTTGATTAAATGTTTGACGAGGTGAGCATCCTCTGAATATCCTTTTTATGCTTCATTATGGATTCGTCAATAGCATGATAGAAATTAGGTTTGATTGGATAATTAAATTATACTATCAAAATATTGTTACACGAGTTTTTAATATTATTTTATAATAGAAAATTTTAACTTAAAGTAACAATATCAAAATTTTATAATTTAAGCCTCCTGAAATTTTGCCAAATGGTTTTTTGAACGCTTAACTTTCATATAATGGTTTGGGATCAAGTGTTCCACCAACTTACATTAGAAGCGATTCTGACAATACCGGTATGTAGTACAATAGCAATATTATGGATTTTTTGACTTTCAAAGAGTAATAGTTTCGAATTCACGTGAGCAAGATAAGATGATTAAAAAATCAATCGTTCACGAAATACCATAAAAAGTATCAGAGACACAAATCTTTGAAATAACCTTTTTTGTTGATTAACCAATCAAACCAAATTTCTATCATGCTGGGAGGCTTTTAGGAGCCAATAAAATCACAGGATCTTATGTAACAAAACAAACACAGAAAACATAAGAAATTATAAAAAAAATGTAAATGACACAAAAATTTACTATGATAACTAATTTCCGAACTCTAAGTAAAAGTTATCAGAATGAAATTTTAACAATGAAACACAATTTTTAATGTTAGATATATAGGGAATTTTTGAGATCATATTTTTTTGGCTGGCAACTCAGGATTTTCTTGACATAAGGATGCCAGCATGGGATACTATTGTGAGCCTGGTTTTTGGGATCACGGGTGCCCGAATCGAAGCGACGATCCTTACCCGATCCAAGGTCACGCGAAAAGTAACGGAAATGTTACTTCT